CGTAGAGGTTTGTAGTGAAAGAATTTTCGATAGTAGTAAAGGTACATGTTGACTAGAAGCACTTGAGATGAGCCAAACTTGTTTCGGAGCGATATTTGCTGGATAAAATCTGTTTGAAGATAAATACGGCTACTACAAATGATAGAAATTATTGAAAAGGGTTCGTAGAGGTTCGTAGTGAAAGAATTTTCGATAGTAGTGAAAGTGCATGTTGACTAGAAGCACTTGAGATGAGCCAAACTTGTTTCGGAGCGATATTTGCTGGATAAAATCATTTTGAAGATAAATACGACTACTACAAACGTTGAAATTGACTAAAAAGGGTTCGTAGAGGTTTCTAGTGAAAGAATTTTCGATAGTAGTAAAGGTCCATGTTGACTAGAAGCACTTGAGATGAGCCAAACTTGTTTTGGAGCGATATTTGCTGCAATTTTTTTTTTATGATAAATACGACTACTACAAACGTTGAAATTGACTAAAAAGGGTTCGTAGAGGTTTGTAGTGAAAGAATTTTCGATAGTAGTAAAGGTACACGTTGACTAGAAGCACTTGAGATGAGCCAAACATGTTTCGGAGCGATATTTGCTGGATAAAATTTTTTTGATGATAAATACGACTACTACAAACGTTGAAATTGACTAAAAAGGGTCCGTAGAGGTTTGTAGTGAAAGAATTTTCGATAGTAGTAAAGGTACATGTTGACTAGAAGCACTTGAGATGAGCCAAACTTGTTTTGGAGCGATATTTGCTAGATTTTTTTTTATGATAAATACGACTACTACAAACGTTGAAATTGACTAAAAAGGGTTCGTAGAGGTTTGTAGTGAAAGAATTTTCGATAGTAGTAAAGGTACATGTTGACTAGAAGCACTTGAGATGAGCCAAACTTGTTTTGGAGCGATATTTGCTAGATTTTTTTTTATGATAAATACGACTACTACAAACGTTGAAATTGACTAAAAAGGGTTCGTAGAGGTTTGTAGTGAAAGAATTTTCGATAGTAGTAAAGGTACATGTTGACTAGAAGCACTTGAGATGAGCCAAACTTGTTTCGGAGCGATATTTTTGCTGGATAAAATCTGTTTGAAGATAAATACGACTACTACAAACGTTGAAATTTACTAAAAAGGGTTCGTAGAGGTTCGTAGTGAAAGAATTTTCGATAGTAGTGAAAGTGCATGTTGACTAGAAGCACTTGAGATGAGCCAAACTTGTTTCGGAGCGATATTTGCTGGATAAAATCATTTTGAAGATAAATACGACTACTACAAACGTTGAAATTGACTAAAAAGGGTTCGTAGAGGTTTCTAGTGAAAGAATTTTCGATAGTAGTAAAGGTACACGTTGACTAGAAGCACTTGAGATGAGCCAAACTTGTTTCGGAGCGATGTTTGCGGGAAAAAAATTTTTTTGATGATAAATGCGACTACTGCAAACGTTGAAATTGACTAAAAAGGGTTCGTAGAGGTTTGTAGTGAAAGAATTTTTGATAGTAGTAAAGGTACACGTTGACTAGAAGCACTTGAGATGAGCCAAACTTGTTTCGGAGCGATATTTGCTGGATAAAATTTTTTTGATGATAAATACGACTACTACAAACGTTGAAATTGGCTAAAAAGGGTTCGTAGAGGTTTGTAGTGAAAGAATTTTCGATAGTAGTAAAGGAACATGTTGACTAGAAGTACTTGAGATGAGCCAAACTTGTTTCGGAGCGATATTTGCTGGATAAATTTTTTTTGATGATAAGTACGACTACTACAAACGTTGAAATTGACTAAAAAGGGTTCGTAGAGGTTTGTAGTGAAAGAATTTTCGATAGTAGTAAAGGTACACGTTGACTAGAAGCACTTGAGATGAGCCAAACTTGTTTCGGAGCGATATTTGCTGGATTTTTTTTTTATGATAAATACGACTACTACTAACGTTGAAATTGACTAAAAAGGGTTCGTAGAGGTTTGTAGTGAAAGAATTTTCGATAGTAGTAAAGGTACATGTTGACTAGAAGCCCTTGAGATGAGCCAAACTTGTTTCGGAGCGATATTTGCTGGATAAAATCTGTTTGAAGATAAATACGACTACTCCAAACGTTGAAATTGACTAAAAAGGGTTCGTAGAGGTTTGTAGTGAAAGAATTTTCGATAGTAGTAAAGGTACATGTTGACTAGAAGCACTTGAGATGAGCCAAACTTGTTTCGGAGCGATATTTTTGCTGGATAAAATCTGTTTGAAGATAAATACGACTACTACAAACGTTGAAATTTACTAAAAAGGGTTCGTAGAGGTTTGTAGTGAAAGAATTTTCGATAGTAGTAAAGGTACATGTTGACTAGAAGCACTTGAGATGAGCCAAACTTGTTTCGGAGCGATATTTGCTGGATCATTTTTTTTTTATGATAAATACGACTACTACAAACGTTGAAATTGACTAAAAAGGGTTCGTAGAGGTTTGTAGTCAAAGAATTTTCGATAGTAGTGAAGGTACATGTTGACTAGAAGCACTTGAGATGAGCCAAACTTGTTTCGGAGCGATGTTTGCGGGAAAAAAATTTTTTTGATGATAAATACGACTACTACGAACGTTGAAATTGGCTAAAAAGGGTTCGTAGAGGTTTGTAGTGAAAGAATTTTTGATAGTAGTAAAGGTACATGTTGACTAGAAGCACTTGAGATGAGCCAAACTTGTTTCGGAGCGATATTTGCTGGATAAAATTTTTTTCGTTGTTGGAAACAAGTTTGGCTCATCTTAAGTGCTTCTAGTCAACATGTACCTTACTACTATCGAAAATTCTTTCACTACTAACCTCTACGAACTCTTTTTAATTTTTCATAACGTTTGTAGTAGTCGTATTTATCATCAAAAAAATGTTAACCAGCAAATATCGCTCCGAAATAAGTTTGGCTCATCTCAAGTGCTTCTAGTCAACATGTACCTTTACTACTATCGAAAATTCTTTCACTACAAACCTCTACGAACCCTTTATAGTCAATTTCAACGTTTGTAGTAGTCGTATTTATCATAAAAAAAAATTATCCAGCAAATATCGCTCCGAAACAAGTTTGGCTCATTTCAAGTGCTTCTAGTCAACATGTACCTTTACTACTATCGAAAATTCTTTCACTACAAACCTCTACGAACCTTTTTTAGTCAATTTCAACGTTTGTAGTAGTCGTATTTATCATAAAAAAAAAATATCCAGCAAATATCGCTCCGAAACAAGTTTGGCTCATCTCAAGTACTTCTAGTCAACATGTACCTTTACTACTATCGAAAATTCTTTCACTACTAACCTCTACGGACCCTTTTTAGTCAAATCTCACGTTAGTAGTAATCGTATATGCCTTGAAACAGTATTCAGGTCATAAAAATCGTTTTCAAAAAATACTCCGAAACGATTTTTTTTTCTTCTGTTTTACTACAAACGAATTAAATTGCACTACAATCCACTACTAACGTTTATCTATGAGAAACAGCCGGAAAAAACATTTTTTTTTATTTTCGGGGGATGACATTTTTTTACATTTTTTTTTTTTTTGGTTTTACTACTAACGAAAATAGCTTCACTACTATCCACTACTAATCGAAATCTTTCGAAAAACCATTAAAAAACCCAATTTTTCCAAAGTCGGGTGCCAGGTTCACACAGGTCTAGTCTGAGCATTCCTAATATTATTTTGACCTAAATAATTTAACTTTAAGTAATATTTTCGTCATAAAATTTCCAATATAAAAATCTTTTTATATATATTTTTAACTAGGAATGTACTGATAACAAACAATAAATTATTTTTACACAGACAGATATGTGACATTGTAATATTTAGTGTTGTAATTTTCTTGAACTGAACGCGTATTTTATTTATTTATTTATTTTAATAGGCACACAAAATAGGATACAATCAATAACATTACAGAATATCTATAAAATAAGTAAAACAGATCCAGACTGCATCCCTACACATGTGTACACTGCATGATTATTAGGCATTTTATATTATGCAGAAAGTGTTATAATATAAAATATTTAATAACTTAATTAAATTAATTGATATTTGAATTAGAACTGTACACATTTCATTTTATAGTAATTTTTGATCTTTCTCCAAAACTTACCCTTGACTGGTTTAACAGACATGGCCCAGGAATGGGTTAAAAAAAAATTTATAACTTAATTATTTGTTTGTGAAAATGGGACCTAAAAGACACATTTTGACTAGAGTATAAATCCGAGAGCATACACAAATTAGGTAATCACTGAGATACCCACAGGGCAACATAAGAAAGCCGTTGCCTGTTGCCAACTGCTGAAACTGAAAAACTGAACTTTTATCAAACCTCTATCTATAGAATAATAAACAAAGATGCCATAAGCTTATTCCACTGAATGTCAACTGCTACGCTCAAACCTACTTAAAGCTAACTTAAACTATTCTTTTAAATAATTATGTTCTCAAAACAATTGCCAGAAGCTGTCTCTGTCTCAGGGAAGCATTAGATGACACTGATAATGATACACATTTAATTTTAATCTTGATATTGTAATAGGACACAGTTAAGTAATGTATTTAAAATTAATTAATTGTAACCACTACACAGGCTCGGCTACCTTCCCTTCACCATGGTGTATTGAAGGTTGGATCTCTAACCGTAGGAGTTTTACTGAGGTGTCTACATAAGCTAAGTACCTAATTTTATTAATGTTAAGAAAGTAGTTATACAAATATATATTTTTAGGCATATTCTTTGTAATTAGGCACTTACAAATGCATATAAATATAAATCTTACTCAAATATTGTGGTTTATTTAATTAATTGTAATTTGAGTAAAATATTTTTCTCATTCGGTCGCCCATAATGCCTCAGGTTTCGATGCAGCTGCACTGCACTTACTCTAATCTGATTTGCTTATAAATAATAAGTTAAATTATAAAATAAATGGTCAAATACATGGACTAGCGTTTCGTTTTTATAAAATAGCACAAAAAACGAAACGAGCACCAACCTGCTAGTTGTGCAGCGCCGCGTCGCCTCCAAACAAGGTCCACCTTCATTATGTTGAAATAACAAAACACAATAACTTTTCATCTACATGCAATAAATCAATTTAATAAATCCATAATGCACTCGTTTACAACAACTCAACGTTAATTAAGTTTAACAAAACCTAAGAACAAAACAAAATAAAACTTTTGATGTCACGAAAATAAAAACTTAAAAAGAAACATCACCACAGAATATAACTTAACAGACTGACACACACAGACAAAAACTAAAATCAAATGAAATGACAGGGCGACGACGGGGTGAGAAGAGGAGCGCGGGACGGGGCAACTTAGTTTCATAGAGCTGCACCGAAGACTAAATTAAAAAACCGGAAAAAACCGCTTAAATAAATATTGATTTAAAAATGATTATTGATTTGAAATTGTAAAGTAAGATGAGAATGGTGAATAATAATGATATAATTCATGCAGTTATAATATTTTGTAAACGTTTTGAATAACTCAAAGTAAATATGATTTATGGTTATTGACCCTGTTACCATTTTATGAATATCAACATTCATAGTTTTTATAGGCTTCAAACATCAATTAATAATTATTAAATACCTATTGGAAAAACAATTAAAAAAAGGAGTATTTATTATCTTTTCCAATTTCCAATACGATTATTTTGACATAACAAAAAATGTTGCTATTTGCCAAATCCCATAAAAAAATGGCAGCCTTCATGTCGTAAGCTTTTCTTTTCTTTTCTACAAATGAAAAGTTTTTATTAATCATTTATGGATGAATTATAATGCTAGTAGAAGCGATCCAGATGGTTAATAGGATTCCTGAAACAATTATTTAGTTAATATCGTTAGTCATGTACTTCCAAATGGCTGTAAGTACTACGTGGTTATGATCTTTTGTAATGCTTTTTAATATTTGCACGATAATATATATTTTTACATTTCTGAGACATCCCTGGAATTGATTTTATTTAAATTACCCATGAGTTATCTGTAATTTGTGTTTGTTTTAGGTAGCGTAAACATCGGGTTATATATGCAAATGCTGAACGGATCGAACGATACAAATAAATTTGAAACAGCACCCAATAAAGATACCATGAGTGCCGGGAGTGCAACTTTGGATCGTGAGTTAGCAAGTACTCGCCGCTTGCTCTGGGGAGAGAATGTCAAAGAAGATGTGTTTCGGCGGTGGGCGCAGGGCTTCCAGTTTAGTCCGGATGAGCCCAGTGCCTTAGTTCAACTAGAAGGTGGTCCATGCGCAGCAATCGCTCCGGTTCAAGGCTTTTTGCTCAAAATACTTCTATCAGAGACACCCGGACACAGTTTTCAGGATTTGACATCGGAAAAGTGCAATTCTCTACTTGTTAGGGCTGTGTGTACAATATTAAGCCAGTGTCTAGCTCCTAAGTACAATGTTGCGGTGTACCGGAAGAATGAATCTGATGCTGAGACTAGCGGAGGCAATAACCATGGTGTGGAAGAACAATCCAGTTCTGTGTATGATACCTTAGAACAATTCCATCGAAAAATTGAGGTGCATCCATTCCAAACATTATCTGAAGTGGAAGCTTTCTACACAAGGAACATTAGAATATTGAAGGACAAATATGGTGTTCTACTTCTGTTGTATAGTGTTATCCTCAGCAAGGGTGTAGCTGTTGTGGAAGCAGAGCTTGCAGAACTATCTGACCCACTCATACATTCAACATATGGCTATGGCTCACAGGGACTTATAAACTTAATGCTCACAGGTAGAGCTGTAGCACATGTGTGGGACCATGACCAAGTTGTAGGGGGACTGAGGCTACGCGGTATTGAAAGACAAAATGATATTGGTTTCCTTACTATAATGGAACATATGCAGTATTGCACTGTCGGGTCATTTTACAAAAATCCTAAACATCCCGTGTGGGTGTTAGCATCTGATACACATTTAACAGTCTTGTTTTCTCTGGAGCGACGCTTAGCTGCTCCCGAAACTGTTGGAGAGTCAGCAGAACGAATTTTTCGCTCTTTTGATCCAGAGGGAAACAACTTTATTCCATCAGCTGCTCTCCAAGATGTGCTATGTGCTGCTGACCTTGTGAGTGAACCTGAATATGTAGAGCTAATGAGACGAAAATTAGATTCTGAGAATTTAGGTATTATACTATTAAGTGCATTCATGGATGAGTTCTTCCCTGGATGTGAACGTGGGGCACCAGACACATTTACTTTGCACCATTACAATGGATTACTGCGCAGTAATCCAGGCGCGAGAGTTATTTTCCGCACGGGTCGCGCGGCACTACTGGAGTGCCCTATGCGTGCAGCCAGCACTGACGCCATGTTGACGTGTCTTCAGACCAAGTGGCCTAGCATTGATGTGGTATGGGATGATGGACCTTCACCGTCACTCAACTAGCACAGGTTACTCTCTTCTGATGACCCCTTGCTTTGAACTCGTGATGTGACACAGTGAGGAACACGTCGAATGTACCTTTAGATATGTTTAAATAATGTCACTGAAAATTCCATTACTTTATTGTATTGACTTATGTATAAAAATTGTATTGGATGGATTGCGTCGAGGCTCTGCATGGATGATTCTTGCACTGGTAAAGGCAGCTATTTTGCATAAATTTGTCGTCCTCAAAGCAGGATGAGGATATCGTGTCGCCAACATAGCATTATGCAGTGTTCGGCTCTATCCGAAAATGGGACTTAGTAATAATATTATCTAAACACTGTTGTGAGAATAGCTCCAAGCTACCCGTGTTATTGAGTGATCTGATAAATAAAGCAATAAGCTTTTTGCATGAAAATAATATAAAATGTAAAATATGATTTTACAGTGCTCTATTTTGTGTTGATAATTTTGGCCATAATTTGGACTGGACTGAGTACTGAAATACAATTCTATTTTCATACTAAGATTAGCTGTGACGTAATTTGCTCTAGGTCGTGATCTAATTAACTCGCATTTTGAGTGATGCCAAGAGTGGCTAAGCAAACTCATATATTTCACTGTAGTGCTACTGCTGCTCTTGTACTGCTTCCACCGCGCCAAGTGATACACGAACACTGCGACGGCAAACTTGTGCTTGTGCTGTGAATAAACAAAAATAATCAATATAATAAATACACATTGTTTGAATTCACCATTTACAGAAAATTGTTTGCTTTCATAATCAGACCAGCTGACACCACTAAACTCACCCAGCATGAGTACAGATTTGTCTGTATAAGCTACATTTAATTTAAATAAGCGCATATGTAGCGGCTTGATGTGACATGACATTATTTATATTATTGCGATGTACATACCTTACTTACCTACAATATGTCATACCTAGATATGAGCTATGGATGCTAGCATAAGATGGTTGTATGTATGTAAGTGTACAGCCGACACTTGAGTGTAATATGTACTGATGTAACATTGTACTATTCAGGGAAGGAAAGAAAACCATTGATTATTGACTTGATTGAAGACAATTTGTACCTATACATTTTCGTTGAGATATTTGTGACTTACATCAAAACATTTTGTAAGCAAAGAAAATAACAAATTAAAACTGTCATATTCATTTATTGTTTTGCTTATCTAATGTTTCTTTGTGATTACCTGATTGACTACCTTTTACTTACTTTTACACTCCAAGAGAGTACTTGTATAATTTTACTTATTAATTTCTTATGTAGTGATTATTGTAATTTATATTTGGTCAGATTAATGTAAAATAGCTGTACACATTAGTGTCGCATTATAAAGAATATATTGAAAGATATTTTCAGTTAGTCATAAATAGTGTAACATGCTTTTCTAATTACAATTTGTTTGTTTTATTTTAATTTATTACAAATGACGCAGTCTGAACGCCACACGAAATTGAATTCAGTATTCAAACAGAACTCTGATTATCTGTTATGCGTTCACCACATAAAACAAAACAAGAGTGAAACCTTTGAGAAAATCTGTGTGTGGGTTTAAATTTGTTACAGCAGAAACATTTGAAAACTGGTAACTTATCGCGTATAGGACAAGCGGCCCTGGCCAGGCAGCCCGTTTCCGGGCTGTTGGACGTCGGCCTTATTGTAGCGGGTGATCTGCTGATAGATCATTGAGACGCGGCACTTTTTTCACCTCACCGTTGCAGGCTCTTCAGTCAGGAAATGCTATCCTGTTTTAATTGGACAATTCTCTAAAACTAAAATAAGTAGATGAATCACAAGAACAGAACCCACTACCATTGAGATTATTTTTTATACATATATACATAGCCAGTCAAAATCATAACCCTCCTTTTGCTTTTCCGTAGTCGGATAATAAGGAAGCAATTTTATATTGGTTATTTGCTTCTATGCCCATCTTCAAACTCCATCATCAGAGTATCAGATCCCTTCTTGTAACCATTTATCACCAAAGCACTAGTCAATACGAACCATACGAGTCCACATTCGACACGGTTCCTCATTAAATCACGAATCACTGAGTTGCCATCGTTATCTACCTATGGGAGACCCAAGCTTGGGCACGAATGGCTCGGCACAGAAAACCGGCCTGAAACAAGCATAGCGTTGTTTCTCTGTGTGAGTGAGGTTAACGGAGGCCCAATCCTCCTCCTCCCCCCATCCTTTCCTAATATTTAAGTATCCGAAACCCTTTAGTGTTGCGGGTGTCCATGGACAGCGCTGATTGCTTACCTTCAGGTTTGCCGACCTTGACCATAATTATCGTCAGCCTATAGACAAGTGCCCACTGTTCAACAAAGGCAAGATGCTGTAATGTGGCAAGATCGGAACGATAAATGAATAGGCGTGTTTAGTTTTATTATTTTTCAGACTCATTTCTTATCCCTTTTATGGTATTTAACTCGATTACTTCTGCGATCGTATCTGGATATCTTCCCGATGGATCTTAATAACATATTTTCCTTTTTACCTTAGACACTACCATATTTTCTTTCTGTCTTGGGTGTGTACGTGGATTTGGTATGAATTGTGGTAGGAGAAACACCAGAACAGAAGCCGCTGGCTCTAAGTCTATAAATGTTTATCACATTGAGCTAAATTTTTATGTACCTATTCGTAATTTCTAACGTACCCAATAGTTGATGGTGATAAGCAGTAAAGCTCTCTTTTTCGATTTGTTGCGATTTGTAGGTACACCTCTGTCATGGTTTCCAATATACTTAAACTCCGTGCCACGACCTGTTGCCATAGCCTTTGGAAAACCGTACCTGTACAAAATTATTAACAAAAGATCGTGCTACCCTCACCGTATCCTTTCGTCAGATACGTTTCGGCGTAGCTATATGCTTAGCTCGCATTCCAACCTAAAATATAAACAATGTAAGAGGTCCCACTAAGTCTAAATACACATTTTCAAAGGCGCCAGTAGCTGTAGTCGTTACAATCATAGATTCTCTTGTTTTTAGAATAGGTACGTACTTACTTACTTATTTATCTGGCATTTTTGGCACTTGCTAACGTACCTCTGTATAGGGTATCACTTTTTAGACCTTGGCAAAATATTTAATTTATCGTACATTTTCTCAGGTTTCAGGTACAGGTTCTCCTCTGTATTTTTTTCTCAGGGTAAAATTATCAAATGACTTCTCTCGCCCAGGGTGAGGCGAGAGAGAACCACCCTGTTCCTTCTCCTGCTTGAGGCCGAGGCTGCGGTGCGTCATTTACCTACGCTTCCCGGTTCCCTTTATATGTATAGTATAACCAACATTTTGATTGTATTCCTCTAATTGTAGTATAAATTTTAAAAGTCTTATAGATGGATCCTTTTTGATTGTATTCCTCTAATTGTAGCATAAATTTTAAAAGTCTTATAGATGGATCCTTTTTGATTGTATTCCTCTAATTGTAGCATAAATTTTAAAAGTCTTATAGATGGATCCTTTTTATCAAATAGGTAGGTAGTTAGGTACCTACATAAATGGTTTATGTTCAGATTGTTCAGTCATTGCGGTAAATCGATCGGAGTGATACCACTACCTCACAGGAAACCGGGGCGTGAAATACACAAATACACAGTGTTGTGTTTCGCCGTGTGAGTGAGATTACCAGAGGCCCAATCCCCCCTCCTCCACAATCCCTAAATACAAAAAGGTCGGCAACGCACCTGTTACTCTTGTTGCTGCTTTTTAGCGGCTGGATATTGTACAACAGTAGGTACTGTGGCATTAGGGTAGCCTTTTGAGATTCGTTTTGGACGTTTCGACATTCGTCATTGCAAATAAATTGTTCTTTTTTTCGACATAGGTAAGTAGGTGTCTATGTAATTTAACGGTAGACTACCGTTAGGCGATAAGTAGGTACGTACAGCGAATGTTGCTGAGCACCGTGAAACCGAATACCAAACCTACGTGTGTAAGCCTAAAGCCGGATGAACAAGTTAAAAAGTGTTCGATGATGTTATTATAGCACCTGCAAGTAGCGAGCGAAATAGTCCAGTAGTTTTAGTAGATAACTAGGTACCTCAAAATAGGAGGGGTGACAAAAATGGCGCTTATTTGTTGATTAATGACTCGATCCACGATGGTAAACCGCTATTTTACGTAGGACACAACCGAAATATTATACTCGTTTTTGGAAGTATTTATTTTACCCATTTAGGACCAAGGATTTTACAATGTCAGCTCAAATCAGTAGGTACAAGTAGGTACGGGACAATGTCAAAAGAAACGTTTACCTAGGTACACTACCGTCGGTAGTGTTATTTCTGAGAATTAAGTTGTAAACTTCGAATCGTCTGACCTCATCTCATCCGCGTGTTTAATACTGGATAATTTTGCAATACTGCAACTTTATCAGAGTCCACCAACCACTATGCTATGTATATGTCCTAAACATAACGATTGTGTTATTATGAAATCACACTTATGCAGCTTACGTTTAAGGTTCATTTATCTAGGTTGCTTAAATGCATCTTAACACTGCTTTATTTATACGAAACACTGCTCATAAGTAAGTCTTTGCATTGCTACTGGCATTAACTACTCTGGAAAAAAACACTAGGGCTGATATTCAACCCCATACCTAGGTAAACGTTTCTTTTGACATTGTCCCGTACCTACTTGTACCTACTGATTTGAGCTGACATTGTAAAATCCTTGGTCCTAAATGGGTAAAATAAATACTTCCAAAAACGAGTATAATATTTCGGTTGTGTCCTACGTAAAATAGCGGTTTACCATCGTGGATCGAGTCATTAATCAACAAATAAGCGCCATTTTTGTCACCCCTCCTATTTTGAGGTACCTAGTTATCTACTAAAACTACTGGACTATTTCGCTCGCTACTTGCAGGTGCTATAATAACATCATCGAACACTTTTTAACTTGTTCATCCGGCTTTAGGCTTACACACGTAGGTTTGGTATTCGGTTTCACGGTGCTCAGCAACATTCGCTGTACGTACTTATCGCCTTCTAAGAAAAAGCAGCATACCTACTTCGCGCAAATGATATCAATTTTTAGGTACCTAGTAACTTTTTTGCGCGTTCTTGGTACTTACACCCAACATACATCATAATCTATACTAGTCTATACTAATATTATAAAGAGGTAAAATTTGTATGTTTGTAAGTTTGTATGTAATCTTAATAGGGGGTAATCTTGGGAACCGCTGGTCGGATTCACAAAATACTCTCACTGATAGATACAATGTTCCTGAGTGCTATAGCCTATAAAACATCCCGCTACGATCAAATGGAGCCGAGCAGCGGCTGAAACCGCGCAACCAGGTCGAAACTTCAAGCGTTGCAAGGTATTTAAATAGGTTAGTATTTAAATAATACAATAATTATTTTTCGCGTTAATACCCGCGTAATTGTATTAAATGCTAAATTAGCCTTGCCCTTTAGATGACTGTGGAACTGGACTTGGCTCGATACGTTGACACTCGCAGACACGCAGACCTGTGGCTTTTGGGGTTAAATTCGACCCAATTTTGTCTACCTCAATCTGAGATTCTCTCTACAGAGGTCTCGATGTGAGACACAAGTCTGTTTCGTCTTTCGATGACGGTTTTCCAATAAATGTTCGCACGGCCCTTGTAAAAGGCATCGCCCGTGCTGTCATCCGCAGAACAATGAATGCCACTAATTAGCAACATATCATCCAGTGCTGAATTGGCGCAAAGATCTTACCTAAAAGCTGGTCCTATTCTCTTGCAGCGTGCGCCAACGATTCTACCCTCTTGAGGAGAGGTGGGAATGATGACCAAAACGCACGACTTCCCGTTGGAAAGCGTTCAAGCCTCTCACCAATTCTACTGATAAGGTGCGACTAGCTATGGACTTTTGTACCTAGGACCTGGATTTTTTTTTTATTTAATAGGTCGGTAAACGAGCAGACGGATTACCTGATGGTAAGCAATCAGCGCCGCCCATGGACACTCGCAACGGAGGAGTAACGAGTGCGTTGCCGACCTTTTAGGGATAAGGGATTTGGAGATTTAGGGATTTAGGAGGGATTGGGGGAGGGGAAGGATTGGGTCTCCGGTAACCTCACTCACACGGCGGAATACAACGCTGTGGTTGTTTCACGCCGGTTTTCTGTGAGGCCGTGGTATCATTCCGGTCGAGCCGACCCATTCGTGCCGAAGCATGGCTCTCCCACACTTAAATGGATGCCAAAGTTATACTCCTTTTTAAGTGCGCTGTATTTAGATCCCCATGTCACCAACGCATTAGCCCATGCATGGTAGCCTGAAAGAACAGCCAAACCAAAGCCGAGATCTGCCATACCGATGGGGACTACAGAAGACAATAAGGTCATCCCTCGCACCACATTAGCAACAGAGGGGGTAGGGTACATAGGGGTCATCCTGCGAGAAGCAATCTCGTCTCCAAGGGTAAGATGCAAATAAAAGTTCTCATTCCATCCAAAAGTTAAAACAAAACAAAAAAAACTGTTGTCCTAGTGCCATACTTGGCGACCACAAGCAACTTGGACTCGCGGCGCACCCGATGAGCTGATAGTCGTATCAACTGATATGTATGTGATAACAGTCTTTTTTTGTGAGGGGAAAGTCATCTAATGCCTTCTCCCGCCTCATCATCATCAGCCTATAAGTGCCCACTGCTGAGCAAAGGCCTCTTCTCATACGGAGAAGGTTTGAGCATTAATCACCACGCATTTATTCCACCTAAACCATAAATAGGTACTTTTGAAACGTCAAAATAGAATAGTAGTCTGTCAGTCTGTTCGTCAGTGAAGCTAGGTGCTCGTTCCAAATTGTAGTTTCGAATCTCAGAATACAGAACAAACCAGAATCCGCGTTCACTCATAATTACATATGTCGTCAAATGTGTCCAATACGTTAATCACCCCGCCAGCCGCACTTCCCACCCGCATAGTGTTGCCGACAGTGGAACAATTCCCTTGGTTTGGGGTAATTTTACAACAGGAAGGTAAGATACGAGCAAAAACCCAACAAAATAGGTAAACTTACGATAAATGCAACAGACTAGTTGTTCACACATTTCATAGAGGTATCATAAAAGTTGACGATTTCTGGCTGTGTTAATTTTAGTTACACCATAAATAAAATAAAGCTTCATTAAATAAAACAAACGCTTCAATAAATACAACAAATAAAACAAAGGTTTTATTGCGTTCCCTTTTGCTAGTTTAGTTTTTTTAATATGTCTTTAGACTCGGAACTAAAGATTAGAAGTCTACTTACTTTACTTAGTTTCTGAGATAAGCGCATTCTACCGAACAAACAAACTCTTCAGCATTATAATTAGTATAGATATATCTTAGTAGGATATGCTGTTTTCAAACCACCTTTGTCATAAATATATCTCTTCAAAGTGAATTGAGCAAACTATGCTCTGGCTAGATGGTTTCCAAAATTAATCTAACCGTGCCCTTTTTATGATTTGTATTTTTTTTTTTGTCAGGGAAACTAATATGACATTTGCTCCATAATGGACAAAAATATAACCCACAACAAATAAATAAGTGGGTAAAATTTTCACCAAGAATGACAACACTCACAAAATGGCCGCATCATTTTCATAGAAAAATAAATCGATAAAAAAAAATCAATAATTAATTAAATATACTATTGCAGTCGATGCTTGCAGATGAAATGTCACTTTTTTCGTAATTCCAGTCGCATTTTTACTCGTAGTAATAACACAAGACGGCATAATGAAATTAAAATTGATACTCGTAAATACGTCACGACATGCCACGTGCCAAAATTGACTAATCGTAGAAATTTCATACTATTCTAGTTGAGAATGGTTTTAGTTGCTTCTGTTTGAAGCGCGATGACGCCTTCTGGTTTGTTCTGTATTCTGAGTTTCGAATGGAGAAGAATGAACAAGAAACACCATCGTTACTCTTTTTAAAAAATATTTGTTTTACAATTCACCAATAATAATTTTTTTATACATTACTGTACCCCTATGTGAGAACAATGCAGAGACAAGTTGTTAATAAAAAGGAACAAATGATGGTCTATCTAATCTATCATTGTTGTCTCGTACATGGCGCTCACATATGCGTACTCACAATCCAAAAGAATGCTTCTATATAAACTCATTCAAGGTTTCATTAATTTTGAAAATTTTAATAACTACTGACTACACATTTGAGAATTGTCCAGTGGAGCCGAACCAACATGCTGCCAGGCATTCTTATCCTCAATATAATCTGAAAATTTGTAGTATGCCTGTCTACATAATTCACGTTTAATATAAGTTTTAAATTTTCGTTTATTAATATTTAATATACTTCTTAGAATTTTATTGTAACAATTTACACAGAACCCCATAAAGGATTTCTGTACTTTGGACAGACGGAATCGTGACACAGCCAGCCTATCTTTGCCTCTAGTATAAATCTATAACAAAATGTCAAGATAGAACTAATAATGTAAATTACAATGACACAATAAAGTTAATAAACACAAGTCACAAGAAATAACAAGAATACAAATAGTTAGTTATTGTTAAATATTACAATTTAAATATAATTTCGTTTAGTCATTCAAATACAACTGTCACCAAGGAACTCATGAATATTATAACAACATTTTTGATATAATATTCATGAGTTCCTTGGCGTGTAATTTTTTCATCGACTTCATTATGTGATTATAAATTATTGAAGCTTTGCATACTGCACTTTTATTTTGTCGAAAACCTTTTTGTTCATTAAATAATTGCAAATTTTTCCTTACGTACATAATATTTTCATATATAAACTGACAAGGTACCGTTAGGATATTTATCGTTTTAAATAGTTCTCTCAGAGATTCACGAGGGGGCAAGTTATATATCGCTCGGATAGCCCGCTTTTGCAAAATAAATATTGTATCTACTTCCGCAGCTCGACCCCACAGCAAAATTCCGTACGACATAATGCTGTGAAAATAGCTAAAATAACCGGCTAAAATAGGCCGGGCGGGAGGGAGTGTCAGACTCTTACTGACTAAAAATCCCCTGTTCCTTCTCCTGCTCTGGGCCGAGGTCGCGGTGCCACATTGCGCTTACCCCGCAATCCCGGCTGATAACCGTCTGGATCAGTGGTTACACACCTCTGACATACGGTGAAGGTAAACATCGCGAGAAAACCTGGACTTGTAATTTCTATTTATAAATTTGAAATCGCCAACCCGCTTGAGCAAGCGTGGTGATGAATGCTCTAACCTTCTCTGTATGAGAAGAGGCCTCTGCTCAGCAGTGGGGACTTATAGACTGATGATGATGATGATGATGATGATGATGATGATGATGATGATGATGACGATGATGAAGAAGAAGGTCGAACAGTTAAGGCCTCTGGCCCTCCACATCTGGGATTCCTGTAGGCACGGTGACTAATGATAATTAAAATTCGTCGTTTAAAACGAAAAACTGCTGAATTATGAATTTGAATTTACTCCTATAGAGACTATGATTATTACTTTCGATGGGCAGGTTCTTCCAAAAGGGTAATCATGTGTTCCAACCAATGACGATATAACTACTTGACGTCACAGTGCCCCGCCGCTCGAAAACGATTAGTATTTTGTCGCCTATGTCTATGCCTACGGTACTTTAAAGTAACCATTTAATTGTGTCTAAGTGTTAGACCTCTTTGCACGCAAAATATATACGCAATCCTTCTTCTTCCATTTTATCGATATTACCTATTTTCCTGTGGAGAAGCTCTTAAGCTTCACCTTCCAGTGTCCAAGCCCTGTGTCTCGATTTGCTTACTTCTCCCTCATCCGCTTGGAGAGTTACTAAATCATATAAAAAACTGTAACAGTTAATGTATTATAATCCTTTTGCCTTCCTTTAGTACGTTTCCCTAACTTTGACCAGTAGTGACTTTGACTATTTTTATGGTTAATAGTCCCCGTATTACCAAATATCCGAAATATCCCAACATTCCAAATTGTTGTGGCCAAATGCACAAGCCGTGCAAAGCTAAGAAGAAAGAAAGAAAGAAAACGGCACACTTTTTTTCAAATATTTATTATAATATTTTTATGGTGCTCGACTCTAGACCACAGAATAATAATTCTTCCGTGGATGGTTTGAGTAATGTCAATGTCATTCAGTTCTCAACGTGTCATACTTGTATTTTTTCGTGTGTTGCGCTGTTGTTGTGGTGTGGCTAAACGTAGTGGTTACATACTCTTTGGTGTGGCTGTTGTGTATTCATGTATCATGTAATTAATGAAAAGTTTCAATTATTTTTTCTTGACATAATCGGTTTTTATTAATAGTGTGTTGACTTAGTGAATATATCACACCACACCATGCCACGAGAGCAAAATATGAAAAAGGAGTACCAATTCCAAAAATACGCTTTTGAATACGATCCTATAAAAGTGGGATCTATTGATGGTAAGTTTTTCTTCTGATATACTTATTGTAACAAGTCTAGGTAGGAGAAAGAAAGTAAGTGATGGGATTGCCATTAGAACTGTTGTTTTTAGAATGGCAGGTGAGATTAGAACTGGGGCCTGCCAAGAAAATACCATTCACTATTAGAAATAATCAGCTATTACGACGATTAAACATAACTATATAATTGGTTCATTTAGTTTGTAACTGATGAAGCTTGTCCCCTGGTCAGTGGGTAGCCTTAGGGCCTTGGATTGGAGACTAAAAGTTGATTACTAAAATGAGCACAATCAAAAGTTTGATGATTGATTAATTATTGACATGAGCAGTTATATTATACTATTAGTGTGTATTATTAGTTGTGTTATGTGTGACATAACACAACTAATAATAAAATAAAATTGTGTAAAACAATGTGTTTTTACTTTTAACACCAGGCACAGACACTGAGCCCCATGATCGAGCTATAGTACGGGCTTTGCAGTCTGAATATACTCCTAACAAGTTAGTGAAGGGAAATCCCAGCAATACATTATTCATTGGAAGACTTAACCCTAGAACTACCGAAGTAAGTTTTATTATATTCACAACTTCATTACAAATTAGGTATAAACATACATTAGTATAAAGTATAAAAAAATAATTACTTAAGTAATAAACCAAACTTTGTAATTTATGATAAGTTAGTGCTAACTCTCAAATTTGGCATCTATACTAATATTATAAAGAGGTAAAATTTGTAAGTTTGTATGTAGGTGGGTAACAATTGTAACTGCTGGTTGGATTTCCAAAATTCTTTCACTGATAGATAGCCACAATATTCCTGAGTGCTATAGGCTATATAACATCACGCTACGATTTAATGCAGCCAAGCAGCAGATGAAACCGTGCGAGACTAGCTAGTGCCTGATAAAGGTAGTAAAGCTTTGCCTGTTATTTCATATATATTTATATTATTATATATTACATCTTATTTATTTGGGATGCGATATGACTTTGATCTCGCACTTGGTTATTCATTTTTTGAAACTTACCCTTTGTTCAAAAATTGTCTGAATTAAATGTTGAATGAATGTTATTATGCATATCATTATATCTGTTGTTATTATCTAAAGGAGTGTCTTACATGCATTGTACATCTTATTACTTCTGTGTACATATGCATAAGCAAAGCCTTGCACTCACAAATGATGCTAAGAAGCTGTGTAGCAACAGGTTTAACCAAATATAATAATGCATTATGTTGTCCATTTACAAATACAAGTTCATTATTTGATGCACATTCATCATTTTAATGTGAAAGTTAAATAAAAATTACAAAACTAACATGCTGTATATTATTTCAGGACATACTCAAGTCAGAGTTCAATAAATTTGGCAGAATACTGAAGTGTCGTGTTGTGAGAGACATAGTTACTGGCAAATCAAAGCAATATGCTTTCATTGAATTTGAAAGTATAGTAAGTGTCGAGCGGGCTCTTAGAGAGTTACAGAAGGAGTACCTTGATGGTTCAGAAATGATCTTGGAACGCGAAGCAGAACGCCGGCTGCCTGGCTGGCGACCACGACGTTTAGGTGGTGGCTTTGGTGGGCGGAAGGAGTCAGGTCAACTTAGGTTTGGATGTCAAGACAGACCTTTCAGAAAACCCATTACAATTGCAAATAAGAGCAATAACAAGCCAGACAAGAGATAGCAATAAGTAAGGAATTTATTATTATGAGCACCTCATGTAATTGTTTGTGAGTTAGAAATGACATGTGTTACATAAAATATTAAGCTTAAGATCTATGTGGTTGTGGATATCAGCTGACAGGTCAGACATTCAACCAAATGAGGAGTTGCATTAAACAATGTGTTATGAGTGTTGTAAGGAGCTAAAAGGTTGGTGCAAGTCTTTTACTCGGACTGAGGGACTCCTTACCATCCTAGAGGCTGTCCTCCTCATTGTATTTATTGGATTTTTTGTGTTTTTGGTCCTACACTTTGTGGCTTGCCGAATTCATTCAGAAGATGCGACATATTTTGACAAAAATGAAACTGACAGTAGCACAGCGCCCGTCGTGACGACGACCTCCAGCTCTAACGCGAGCAGCATTCTGCCGCCAGACGTGGAGTGTACGTGGAAACCGTCTCAGCGAACCACTGCGCGCACTCGGTACTACGTCACGAGCAGCAACACAACGCAAACGAGCTCCTCCACTACCAATTTGGGAATATTCGGCGAGGCTTCAGAACTGTCACATTTCTATGACGAATATGGCTTTTTAGAAAACTCTAACGGCGAGCCTGCCGAAGATATTTATAGAAACCAGGTTGTAGCTCTGGTCAAATTTAAACCTAACGGGGAGGTGACGTTTGGCTGTATTTTAACAAAGATTACACAGTTTTGGACATTGACAGCTGCCAGCTGTATCACATCCGTCAAGGAAGTGGATTCGCTGGACTCGTTTGTTATGATAGAGCAGTTCGGTGAGGCGGACCAGTCGCAGGCACGCAGCGTGGCAGGCGTGCACCTGCACCCGCGCCACCAGTCGCGGCGGCACGACCTGGCCGCGCTGCGCTCCGCCCGCGCGCTGCGCTCGCGAGCGCCTCTGCTGCGCCTGCCGCACATGCTCGACTACTTCCTCATAGCTCTGGGGGAGAGGCTCTTCATTCTCGGTTATGGAGGATACAGGTAAATAGTTTTGACGAAATGATGAATGCTATCTAGGCCCAGTACGATTAGTACATACATAGTCGATTATTGATATTAAGTACTTAAAGACATTTTTTATTATTACAGAACAGTGAATGATGCAGCAGTGCGACGACTGCGTCAAGTATCCGTGTTCGTGACGGCGGCTGTAGCGTGCGGGGGCGAGGGCGCGGCATACGGCGTAGCACACACGTGCGCGGGGGCGCGCTGGGCGCGGGGCGCGGCCTGCAACTACTGCGCGGGGGCGCCGCTGGTGCGCGAGGGGGCGCTGCTGGGCATCATGAGCGACAATCGCGAGTGCGGCGTCACCTGCGAGCCCCAGCTTTACGTTTACCTTGGAACACTGCGCGACTGGATTGATAAAGTTGTCGACAAAAATTAAATTGTAATCTTAATTGACTTTATTTGTGAAAGTTAAATATATTATACTTACCTACCAATTATTTTGGTAAATCAATAACGAGTTATCATTTTTGGTCAACACAGATTTGTTCCTGATTGATTACCATTAAATCTAGCTACGCAAAGTTTTAATTTAGTTGTTCCTACACTGCCAATGCGCATTCTTGAAAAAAAAAGCCGAGAAACCGGCAAAGAAAACTCTTAATTTTTGAAGTGATTGATGAAGTGCGAGATTTAGACAGATGAAAAACCACACCCCTTTTGTCGATTAACTCTGGCCGCTTTCTCTTATTCAAATATATAGGTTTGGAGGTATGATGATGATCACGTCGGGGTCACCAGTTTAGGGGTATGAGGAACAGGGTGGAAAGTTCTTCATCCTCCATTGAAAAGGGAGGATCCTCCGACCAGGCGAGGTGTTCGTGCCTGGTGGGCTACCGCCCGATGGTTGTTGTCGGGATATATGTATGGGTGCTAATTGTGTTGAAAACTCTTATAGCGCGATGTAGACTCTTGCTCGTGATTGGAGCTGTTGTTTATGTAGTGCGCTAGATGTCGCTACATCACTCCCCTCCGAGACCGGAGGTCGTCAGCTAGTTGAGTCGTCTGTGAGATGCTTGTCGAGCCAGTGGATGGTTCCAGTGAGTCGGAACTGATGTCGCATGGTTCACGGTGAGTCGGAACTGTCTGCGGTGGTGCCCCAGTGATTCAGGGAGATGATGCATTTAGCTTCAGTTGGTCGGAGAGATGCGTTGCTGCAGGTGCCCCAGTGAGTCGGGTGGTGCAGTCTTGAAGAGTGGCAGGCTGCTGCGTCGACCAGGAGAGGGAATACGTCTCTGCTTGCTGACCGGCCGAAGTGCAGTGTGCTGTGCCGAAGTTGCTGATGAGGCTGTAGGTGCTGACCAGGAATGCGCGTCGGCTGCATGCTGGTGGTCAGGGAACCCGCTGTAGCCGTGGAAGCTGGCTGACTGTAGACGCGCTGCTTGAAAGCTCGAGGAAGTGATGACGTCATGGCTATGACGTAGTTGCACGAAGGCTGCGTTGATGTTCATGCTCGGGGTCACCAGTTTGGAGGTATGATGATGATCACGTCGGGGTCACCAGTTTAGGGGTATGAGGAACAGGGTGGAAAGTCGGGGTCACCACTGTAGTGTCTATAGTGTTCAGGTAGAAATTAAACACTACGCACTAACTTATAAATGTTTATTATTGAAATACAAAGATATTTTTTTTGTCGTCAACGCGTATAGACGTGTACATCGATGCAAAAATAATATTGCTTATATTAATGAACAATTTATAAATAGTGACCTACTTTTGTTGCTACTTGGAAATATAACAAGTGTTAATATCTGAATAGTATAATGACAATCTGTGTGTGCAAATATTTCAAGTAATATGGACAACAGCCCCTTCAATCGCAGCGGGATTACCCGCCGCACCCCTCCGCCGTCAAATCCAAAGCAAGAAGAACAAATTGAAATTGACCCACCGGAAACCGCATCTACGTCAGATCTTCATCAATGGACAGGTTCAATTGAGCGTTACCTACAAGAAATATGCACGATTTCTTCCGAAGGAAAACTGAACTCTGAGCAGAAATTGAAGATCAACAATCTCTGCCGTAAAGTGTGCCAAGGATTTTCCCACGTTACATTGCAGTATCAAGCCCTGAAGAATAAGGCCCTTCTTCAACACTATGCTTTACAGGACTTAAATGAAAAATTTGACCTAGCAAATTCTCTGACCCAAATCAAAGAAACAATAAAGGAATCTTTGCCTAAAACCGCACAACAAAATAGCTCTTTTGCCGACATGGTAAAAAAAGGTGCAAACAACTTTATACGTCCCAGCCCTTTGAGTTCTGTTGCCATCTATCCCAGCGATAAATCCAAGACCAGCGATGAAACAAGAGACATCGTCCAAAAAAAAATTTGCCCGGGAGACATCAAACTAAAAGTTCGAGGGGTTCGCAAGATACGCAATGGAGGTGTTATTATTAGCACAGAAACCAAAGAAGACCTAGAAAAACTCAAAAAGTCAGTCCAGCTGTCTTCATCAGGGCTCACCGTAGACGAACCGAAGAAGCGTAACCCCCGCATTATTATCATCGGCATTCCAAACTCAATGGCCGAGCAGGAAGTGTTCAAATGTATTTTTGAACAAAACGTCGCCGAAAAGCTGCCGAATTTGACCTGCGATACCTTCCTTTCGTCGATAAAATTAAGCCACAAATCAGGAAGAAAAGACGCCGACCACTGCAACTACATTATAGAAGTTCCAGTCACCTTCCGTAAAGCACTTATAACGCAAGACAGAGTGTTTATCAACTGGACATCGTGTCCAGTAAGAGACTTCACGGTGGTGACCAGGTGTTACAACTGCCAGCTGTATGGTCACGCAGCTAAGTCGTGCCAGGCAGCTGCTTCCACATGCAGCCATTGTGGAGATGAGGGCCACTCCATCAAAGATTGTCCCAAGAAAGGCGTTGCACCGAAATGCGCTACATGTTCTCGGTTTAAAAAGCCGAGCAACCATCAAACCGGAGACGCTGATTGCCCAGCCAAAAAAGCAGCCGAAAACAGGTACATCAACTCCGTAAATTATGAAGCACCTAAGAGCGCCACCTATTTTTCTATTTTTAGTTCTTATTAGTTTACTTATTATGGCCATTAACTTAATAAATGAAATAGATAATTCTTTCTTAAATATAAGCAAGTTTTGTGAAGTTGAAAATTGCAAAAAATATATGTCCAATATTCCAAATTCGCTAACAATTCTAACCCAGAACATCCGTAGTATATATAAAAATATAGATGGTTTCCATGTACTATTAGAGAGGCTTAACTTCACCTGTGACATTATCATTCTAACAGAATGTTGGCTAACAAATAGATTCGATAACCTGCCCACTATTCAGGGTTATAACTTAAACTATAATACTGTAAATACAAGCCAAAACGAAGGAGTGGTGGTCTATACTAAAGACTCATTAAAAATTACTGTAGAAAAATCTACCACACCAGGATGCAATTGCTTGGTCATTAAAATTGATACAACTACAGCAATAATAGCTATTTACAGACCACCTTCCTCCAGAAACTTAGACTCGTTTCTTCATTCATTAAATCAGACATGTCAAACACTAACCTCATTTAGAAATGTAATACTAACCGGTGATATAAATATTAACATAAATTCCGAGAATTATGACTCAGGAACACAGGATTATCTCAACTTATGTGCATATCATGGACTTTTAGCAGCTCATAAATTGTCAACACATCAGAGCGGTTCCTGTTTGGATCATATGATGGTAAAATCTAACTCAAACTATATTAGCCTTGTCACTAACTCAACATTAACTGATCATCATGCTGTTTTACTAATATTAAACATCTCGCTACCGAAGCATAATCATCGTCAATTTAGGTCTCGATTTCACATAAACAAATTTGAACATGACTTGCGCAACATTGACTTCGCTCCTATTTATTATTCTGCTGATGTTAATGCGTCAATGTCGTATTTAATTAATAATGTAGAAAAAGCAATTTTGCAGAATACAACAACAGTAAAAACAAAAAACAGACATTGCAACATAAAACCATGGATTACGCCTGGGCTAGTTAGGTGTATCAGACATCGGGATAAACTACACCATAGAGCTAAACGTTTTCCAGATAATTTTGATTTACAATTAACTTACAAAAGATACAGAAACTTTTGCAATAGACTGTTGAAGAACTTAAAAATTGATTATGACAAAAGCGTATTGCAGCAGGCTGGGAAGAATAGTAAAAAGCTGTGGGAGCACATAAAAAATGTAACTTATACAACAAAACAACAAGAATCGTGTTCAGATTTACTACATACCGAATCGTCATCATACTTGTCTGCTAACAATGTAAATAACTACTTTCTAAATGTGGGTAAAAATCTTGCTACACAGTTACAGTCATACTCTCAAAATCGGACAAATACAAGTTATCTACAATCAAACAATTATACAGAAAAATCATTTGTTCTATTAGACACAGACGAATATGAAATTGCTCGAATTATAACGGGATTGAAGGATAATTGTGCAGTTGGTTGTGACAGCATCAGTAATAGAGTCCTTAAAACTTATAAGTACGTGTTTGTCCCCCCACTGACGCATATTTTTCGTGAGTGTCTTTCTAAGGGCATTTTTCCGACATGTCTCAAAAAGGCAGTAGTTGTTCCTGTATTCAAATCAGGTAATAAGGAGTCAGTAAATAACTATAGACCTATTTCACTACTGCCCTCAATATCCAAAATTCTCGAGAAAATTATTAATACTAGATTAAAAAACTACCTCGATAAAAATAACATCTTGTCATCATTGCAATTTGGTTTTAGAGCAAATTTGTCAGCAGCTGATGCAGTAAATACACTCACAGATTTTATATCACAAGAACTGGGAAAAGGCAACCACGTGCTGGGAATCTTTATTGATCTTGCCAAAGCTTTTGATACTGTGTCTATTCCACTGCTTCTAAAGAAGCTGGAATGCATAGGTGTCAGAGGTACACAGCTCAAACTTTTTGCTGATTATCTCGATGACCGTTATCAATGTGTTAAAATAGATAATGTATTAAGTTCATTTCAGAAAAACACTAGGTATGGAGTGCCTCAAGGGAGTATACTAGGTCCTACTCTATTCTTAATATACATCAACGATCTGTGTAATCTTAAAATGCATTATGGGAAACTAATTTCATACGCCGATGACACTGCTCTAATTTTTTCGTCAAATAATAACTCTGAATTATACAGTAACGCTCAATTGGCCTTTAACTCGGTTAATAGTTGGCTTTGTTCTAACCTACTAACATTAAATGCAGACAAAACAAAATTTATTCAATTTTCTATGCGTAAGATACCAGATTCCACCATTATACCTGAATTATTTGCACATAAATGTATAAATAAACTGGCGGGTACATGTAATTGTCCATGTATCCTAAAAACTACATCCATCAGATATCTCGGCATCACACTCGATGAAACTCTTTGCTTCAAACAGCACATTAGCATTCTGGTATCACGAGTCAGAAAGCTGATGCACGTTTTCAAAAAAATTAGATACATCAGCGA